CGAGGTACGGGGCAAGGCCGGGATGCGATCCGTGTCGGGGGTGCTGACGCCGAGGTTCGAGGACAAGGGCGCGGACGAAGCGTCCGCTGGCTCAGACGAGGCGCTCACGGAGGCGACCACCTCCAGCGGGAAGTCCGATGAGCTGGAGCAGCTCGGCGTCGCGGGCTCGGGGTCGGCGGCGGCGGACTCGGACGGCATGGTGGGCCGTGTCCAGGAGCTCATGGCGGAGCGCCAGCAGCTCCTGGCAGAACGAGACGGGCTCGTGGACGAGCTCATGAGCACCAAGGCCCTTGCCTGGGAGCTCAGGCGCAAGGCGGAGGCCGCCTCGCCTTTCTGGGCCGACCTCGCCTGTGGGGAGGATGAGGGGCCTGGAGGTGCGGCCAGTTTCGACTTCGAGGGCGTCTTCCTTGGGGCCGATGCGGCGCGGAAGGAGTCGCTGCCAGAGGTCCTGCCTTTCCCGCTGCTGCAGGATGGCGTGGGCGAGCAACTGGTGGAGCAGCCCGTCGGCATGGAGGCGTCGTACAAGGAGAAGTTCGTGGGGTCAGCCTTGTCGGACAACTGTTCCCACGAGGAGGCGTCCGAGTGCCAGGCCGACGCCGAGGGGTTTGGCGGGCAGCACGGCGCCTGGGAAGATGGGCCCCCAGGCCGTCTTCCCACCCCTGGCTGGGCCTGCAGCGCCTGGGAAGATGGGGCCCGAGGCCGTCTTCCCACTCCTGGCGGGGCCAGCACTTCCTTTGGAAGATGGGGCCCCAGGCCGTCTTCCCACCTCCGCGGAGGCTGCCCGCATCGGGGGCAGCAAGCCGACAGCGCTGGAGCCGAGGGCGTGTGGCGCCGAGGCGCTGGTGGAGGCGCCCGAGGGGGCCTCGAAGGGAGTGCGCTGTGCTAATGACCTCGATGAGATCACCCAGCAGGTGGTGCCTGAGGTTTCGGCGGCGGCGGAGGCCCCGACGGAGGCCCAGCAGCTCATTCTCGGCGCCGCTATGCTGGCGAGGGAGGCCCTCCAGCGCGGCGACATCGCCGAGGGCCTTCGGCTGCTGGAGGCGGCCCAGGCGAAGTGCCTGGCGAACTAGCCAGGTAGGGTGACGTCCTGATCATGTGTAGTATCTGTTATTATTGCACAGTGCTTGCTTGATTCAGGTGTTGCTGGTGATGAGATCGTGTGTCGTATCTGTTCCTTTCAGTGCTACACCTGATTTGGTTTTCTTGTGTAGTATATGGTTTGATCAGTGCTGCACTTGATGGATGGTCTTGTGTAGTATATGCCATAGGCTTCGCCTTTCTGTCTGTGCTGCACTTGTTTGGGGAGGGGGCCCAACGCGGCCTCCTCGGGAGGGTAGGCCAATCCGTGGCCCCCTCGGTTTTGTTTTTTCCTGCCTTTAAGGCCCCGACGGTACAATACAATAGAAGGCTTCTTAGAGGGAGGTTGCTCATCAGAAGGCGCGGGCCCTCCATCTGTAGACGAGGTCCGCGCCTTCTAAGAAGAAGGGGTGGTTGTCATGAAGCCTTCCCCCCTACCCCCTACCCCCCACCCCACCCTGCGCGTGGCCGATTACTGCCACCACAACGAGGCTGGCTCGCAAGGCCGCGCGGCAAGGCTGCGCAAGGGCCTCCAAGAAGCGAAGCCAAAGCAGGGAGCCCATGGCAGCATGGCTTCAAGCAAAGGGCCCAGGGTCACACCAATAAATACACACAGATCCAAGGATTCACCCCACTTTCCCCAATGTTTTCTGGACTTTCGTCTTCCTCACCACTTCACATATTTCCCCATATATTTTCCTAGGACTCGACGGTTCATAAATTGAACGCCCCTGAGGGGGCAGACAACGCCGCCCCACCATTTTTTGGATCCTGGAGACTCTGTGGGAGCGGCGGCCGCTCCGCGCGCGCGAATAGGAGATGTTCTGGTGCTGGTGCTGGTGCTTCCGCTTGGAGGCCTCGTGGGGCTCTATGGAGAGGGCATTGGGCTCCTCAGCGAGCTCTCTGTCGTATGACCCTGAGCCCAGAGCGGCCGCAGAGAGGCTGGAGGAACTGAAAGCAGCGAGCTCTGTGTCGTATGCCGATGTCGTAAGCAGCAGCACCGAGAACTAAAGGGCCAGGACGGCCGCAGAGAGGCAGGAAGAACTGAAACAAAAACCGACGGGTTCGTCCCAGAAAGCGCGCCGAGGAGTGTCTTTCACATGACCCTGAGGCTAAGTCGGCTGCAGAGAGGCTGGAGAAGCTCAAGAGAAACCGTCGGGTTCGTCCCAGGGGGACTTCTGGAAGGGCCCAAAAAGGAGCCGGAATGTGTCAAGTGCGGCGACTTGAAGAGAACGATGAAAACAGGAAGCGAACAAAAACAGTCCGGGTTTGTTTGCGGCTCCCAGAAGGAGCCCCTGGAGGCTCTGAGGGGGCGCCCCAGATGGGCGAAATACGGTGCCAAGAAGGCGGTCATACAGTACGGCCCAAGATGAGTCCGAGAGGCTCTCAAGACGGTCGTAGAGAGCACGCCCGGGTTCTCAGATGGCCGCAAGAGCCAGCGGAGATGCACGGGAGCTCCGAGAGAGGCGCAAGGAGAAGTGCGAGACGGCCAGAATCATCGAAGTCCGATGTGTCTTTTACTATGTTTTTTTTTGATTGTTGGGGTGTTCTGGTGCATGTGGCCCAAAAAGAAGGGAAAGGCACCTGACACGGCTGAAAGTGGCCTGAAGGAGGGCGAAAAGGAGCCCATGAGAGCCTCAGGAGGCCCGCAAAGCCGGCCAAGGGGACTCCTGGAGACGTCTCCGAGAGCGCATGGCGGCGCCTGGAAGGCTGGCGCGTGAAAAGGGGGGTCGTCTTGGGACGGAAACGCCGGCCAGAAGGCGCCCCGGCCGCAGCGGGGGCTCCCGGGCCGGCGGAATGAGCGAGGCGCGGGGAGGACCCCAGGAGGGGGTGCGAGGGCTCAGAGGCAGGGGTACACGTCGTTCATTTCTGATCGTGCTCATTTCTAATTGTGCTCGTTTCTAGTTTTTCTTGGCTCCCTAGTGGCCAGGAAGAGGCCCAGGATAGAACACTTAGAAATGCATGGATCTTGGCCCCCCAAAAATCAAAGAACTTTCGAATACTCAGAAATTAACCATGTGTAGGTATGAAAAGCGCGCTGGAGAAAAGACTTACACAAAGCACTACTTGAAGACCATGCCGTGGATCTCACACGCCGTACCCGGTGGGGCGGCGGATCGCGTCGTTCACTCCGCCGGCCCATCTTGCCTCGCCGTTGTCGTTTGTCGGGGTGTTGTTGTCAATGCGGTGCCGTGGGGCGGTGCCGTGGGGCGGCTGTCATTTTTCGGAGGCGGTGGGTGGTGGGCCAGAGGCCTCATGGATATTGGTTGAGCTCTCGTGGTTGTCTCTCGGGGGCCTCTGGGAGGCTATTTTGAAGCCTCTTTGGGGCCGTGTTAGGGCCTCTTGGAGCCACTCGGGGGCCTCTTGGAGCTTGTTGGGGTGCCTCTTGGGGACCCCTTGGGGCCTCCTGGGGTCCTCTTGGGGCCTTCTGGGGGCCTCTCGGAGCTGAAGGCTGGACTTTTCGGAGCCCTCTTGGGGCCGTTTGGGCCCTGTCGGGCCGTCTTAGGCCCTCTTGGGCTCTTTTGGGTCCATCTTGGGTGCGCGTTGGGCCGTCTGGGGACGATCTTGGAAGCCTCTGGGGTAGTTCTGGACGCTGTGAAACCTAAACGTCGCACATGCGAGCAATGCATGTTTTCCTACGGGAATGGGACGATGTTTGCTTCTTGGGGTCCTCTTGGAGAGCCTCTTGAGGCTCTCTTGGAGCTTTTTCGCGGCTTCTGGGGCCATCTGGAGACCATCTTGAGCGTCTTGGACAATCTTTCTGCGACTCGGGGCCTCTTGGGCCGTGTAGGGGGCGTCCCGGCACCCTCGTGGCGCGCTCCTGGAGCGCCCTGGGCCGGGGAGTCGGCTGGGCATCGGCCGGACATCGCCCGGGGTACTCTTCGTCCGGAGGTCCCCAGGAGCCGCCACCCGCGCGCGAACTAGAAATAGCGTGAACCTGTTACCGGAGATCTTAGCACGCTTCTGGCCCGTTGGGCCGGCGAATTTGTGTCTGTGTGTTTTTGTCCGTTACCTCTCCTGGAATGCGTTCCCACAAGGATGTCGAGACGAATCCGACCGTGGCGTCGCACCTGATCCCAGGGAAGGGTAGCGGCATTGGTATCTGCTCCTTCTCCTCCTCCTCCTCCTCCTCGACTCATCCTCCTTCCTCTGCATTGGAAAGTCGCTCCGACCTCTCCTGGGGTGCGTTCTGAATCCAAATCGAGGTGGCGACGAGGGATTCCCGGGAGCCCCAAAATGGACAAGCGCGTTCCACTACTCTGGGTACTCGCAAATAAAATACTCACAAATGGCCTGGATCCGCCGCGAGGGATTTACGATCCATTACATAAGAGGAAGCCATGTGTTTTTTGTTCGTTTCTGACGCTTGCGAGTAGGAACTTTGCGAGCAGTGGAACGCGCTTGGTGACAAAAAGTTGAACACGTGCGAAGGGTAGATACCGCACTGCCGGCAGCCCCACAGATTCGGGCCCGCAGCTCCGCCTTCTCCTCCTCCTCCTGCTCCTCCTCCTCCTCCTCCTCCTCCTCCTTCTCCTGCCCCATCTCCTCTGTGCGGCGCGCGGGAGCGGGGGGGGGGGCGCCAGGAGGGGGTCATGGAGGGGGAGGGGGGCAGACGCCAGGGTGGGGGACCCCGAGGGGGAAGAGGAGGGAGGTAGGCAGGTGGATCGGTAGGACGGCGGCCTGAAGCCAATGTGGGGCATGTCTGGCCGCGCTCGGCCTCCGAGCCGGGAGGCGAGGCCACACTCGGTCGTGGCGTCGTCTGCGCCTTTCACATAAGAGCGCGCCCCGGCCCCCCGCGTCTGGACAGCCGGGGAGCTCGGCATCGACCAGGCCGAAGGCTCCCAGCAAGTAAGGCAGGCTCGGCAGCTCGGGCGGGGACAGGGGGACCCCCACACCAGCCCCAACGCCCCCCTTCCCCCCCGTCACGGTGACACCCTGGGCCGCCGCGCTGGGACTGAAGATCTGAGCCCTCCGCGAACGAATCCCGAGCGGGACCCCTCTGGGGCGCACGCAATGGAGGTCCTTCAGCCCCCTCTTGTGAGGAGACCACAGCGCTCTGAGATGGAACGACGGAGGAGGGAGCAGGGACGAGGAGCCCTCCAAGAATGCTCCGCTGGCGCGCCTGCTGCCGATGCCCTGGGTGGTCGCAGCGAGGCCTGCGCCTGGCCGTGGCGGCCAGCCGAGGCGGCAGGCCCCCCCCGCGCGAGGAGGGCCCCTCTGGCGGGCGCCCGCGGCCTGGCCGCGCGCCCTCGGGCCCGCGGACGTCCCTGCGCCGGGGCCAGGCCGCCCTGCGGAGGGCCGCCGTGGTCAAGGGCGACGGCGACCGCGTCGGCGTCCACCGTCGGTCGACGACGGCTTGGAGTGCCATGTGGGACCTTGTGCTGCGCCGAACGCACCGGGCGCGTTGTCTACTGACGCAGTCACATGGCATGTGTATACGTACGCAACGGAACCCCATGTGTTCACAGACGCTTGAGGCTAGAAAGTGAAGCCCCAGATGCTGGCAGTGTAGAAGCAGGCAGACTTGGCCCTCCAAGGTTGACGATGGTGTCCCCCTCGTCCATCGACGAGGGCGACGGGCGATCGCTCCACCGCGTCGGCGTCGTCGCCGCCGCCGTCATGGGGAGCCGCGGGGGGGTCGGGGATCTGCTAACCCGGGTCAATCAGACCCGGGTCAGCAAGACACCGAATAACTGCAATGGAGGACAAATAAAATGCGTCGCAGGGCTTCGCAAACTCATGTCAGCCAATATGCGCGGCCGCCTCGCGGCCACGAGCGGCTCGCTAACCCGGGTCAGCCAGAGGGGGTCTTCGCAGGATCCTGCAGGATCCAGTGCCCTGGCTGACCGGCTGACCCCCGCTTGCATTGACCCCCGTCTCTTAAGCTCCGAGGGGTGGCGCCGCGTGGCCGCCCTGCCGGCGACGAGGCGGGCACTCGCGGCGTTGCCCCTCCGCACCAGGCCCGTGGCCGTCCGAGGCCGTCCGCTGCCCGACCGAGGCCACCGACCGACCGAGGCCGCCCGAGGCCCGAGGCCGCGACCGACCGAGGCCGCTGCCCGACCGAGGCCGCCGACCGGCCGAGGCCGTCCGGGGCCGCCGACCTGTGAGGCCGCCCCGTACGAGCGGCCCGCGCTGGGGAGCGGGCTCGCGGCAACCGGGCGGTCTGGGCAGGCACTGGCGGCACGCCCGGCCGGGGCGGTGCTGCACAAGGTGGCTGCAAAATGAGGCGGAGGAGGAGGAGGCGGAGGAGGAGGAGGGGGAGGAGGAGGAGGAGGGGGAGGAGGAGGAGGAGGAGGAGGAGGAGAAGGAGGGAGAGGGGGAGGAGTGAACGTACCTTGGGGCGAACACGTCCGTCTAGCTCGGCGCAGATCGGCTAGGACGGTGGTTGGCCTGTACTTGGGGATGGACGCTCGGCCGCTCTGGCATCGCCAATGCTGCAGTGAGCATGGGGCCATACACGGAGAGCGGATTGTAGGTCGTGCGGGATGCTCGGGAAAGTGGGGAAAGCAGGGACGGGGGGCAGAGGCGAAAGGGGAGAGCGGGAAGTAGAGGGCCTGTCGGGGGGCACTCGGCTGGCCGCGACAGCGGGGCTACCTTCGCAGGCGGGCTCCTCAAGCCTACTCATCATCGTCGCGGTCCCGTCGACGGGGGGCATGGAGAGGACGGGCTGGCGGGGTCCTTCGCAACCAGCGGCAGCGGCAGGAAGAGCATGTTCGTGGGGGACAGCGTCGGCCACTCCAGGCGGCGGGACGGCACGAACAGGATCATGCAGGGCTTCTTCGGGACAGACACGGGCGACCTCCTCCAGCTTACTCAGCGTCGTCGCAATCACATCGACGGAGGGCGTGGGGAGGTCGGCCTGGCGGGGTCGTTCGCCACCAGCGGCAGCGGCAGGAAGAGCTTGTTTGTGGGGTACATCGTCAGGCACTCCAGGCGGCGGGACGGCACGAGCAGCAACATGCAGGCCTTCTTCGGGATCCACCAGACGATCTGCCAGATCAGCATGAGCCGTGCAGCAGCAGCGGAGTTGAAGAAGGTCGGGTCGGCGAAGGTACTCGACGCCAGGGACCGCCCAGTCATGTCGATCGTCTTCGGGAGGATCGCGGCGAGCGTCTTCATGCAGGTGTTCTCCATGCAGGTGAACGGCATGCAGGTGTACTTCATGCGAGTGTTCTTGAGGATTGTCATGCAGGTGTGCTCCAGGCAGGTGTACTTCATGCAAGTGTCCGTGAGGATTGTCGTGCAGGTGTTCTTCATGCAGGTGTCCTTCATGCGGGAGAACGTCAGGCATGTGTGCTTCAGCTGCGGCAGCAGCACACGGAGCATCATCAGGAAGAGCATCATCAGGTAGCGGGGCGGCTCGAACACCATCATGCAGAGCACCTTCAGGATGGGCGGGACGAGTCGCAGCCACTCGGGCAGCAGGAGGATCGCCACCCGCATCAGCGACGTCATGCACTTGTTCGCCACCAGCGGCAGCAACTCCGAGTTCCAAAGAATCCTCGTTGGGCTGGTCGCTATCCGAGGACAAGGAGGTCTCGAACACGAAGTCGTGCCACGCGTCGAAGCAGCGGAAGAAGGGCCTGTTCTGGAGTAGTGTCAGTCGCCGAACGACACGGTGCCATTCGCGGACAAGGGGACGGAGAGCAGCGAGAGCATCACCAGCATCACGACGACGGGCGCCACCAGCGGCAGCGGCTTGCAGGACAAGTTCATCACGATGACGGCCGCCACCAGCGGCAGCGGCATGCACATCAAGTACAGGAGCGCCAGCGACGAGCCGAGGAAGTGGCCCAGCGGCAAGTAGCAGAGCGGGTTGAGGACGTGGGCCATCGCCAGGCTCATCACCAGCATCACGCAGGCGGGAGCCACCGGCGGCAGCAGCATGCAGGACGAGATCAGGAGAGCCAGCGACGAGCCGAGGAAGGGGCCCAGCGCCATGTAGCAGAGCGGGTGCAGGTACAACGGGTGCTCCAGCACCTCGGCGAAGCGGCGCATCATGAGCAGGTGGTGGAAGGGGTCCCGCGCCAGCCCGTGGAACGTGATGGTCGGCACCAGCGCCTTCGCCGTCAGCAGGATGCAGAACTGGTGCAGCTCGCTCGCGGAGTACCTGGATGTACCGTGCAACCTGCGACAGCTCGTCGCTCGTGCACACGCCGAGGGGGATGAGCTTCCTAGGGGGGTTTGGTAGTGCCCGTCGATCATCGCGAAGAAGAAGAGCGAGCTGAAGATGGACGAGTTCACCATCCCGACTGCGACGCAGGCCGCGTTGAGAGGCACGACAACGACGGATATGAAGAGCGGCTGGCGACCGCGTGTGGGGCATGACGAAGCCGTCGCAGGTCACGAACAGCAGCAACGGGATCACCTGAGCGCGCAGCATCCGAGCGCATCAGGGCCTGCGCGGCGCGAGTGGTTATGGAAGAGCCAGGCAAAACGCTGGGAGCGGATGCCCTCGGGATAGATTGCTATGGAATCCATTTCGGCCCAAGTGGGGAGGTATCCCACTTGAGCCAAAATGGCTACGGAAGGAAGAGGGGGAGGAGGAGGAGGAGGAGGAGGACCAGTGCAAACGCAAGATCCGAAGGATGGTGCAACAACCCTCCCTGCAAGTTCCTTCTCCAAATGTCCTGCAAGGATGCATTGTCACTGTTTGAAATGCCCCGGTGGACGACAACCGTCTGAAATTCCTGTGCCGTGCCAGAACACCATTCCTGGGACTTCAACGCCGCAAATCATCGTCACTGTTGCGTCCTGACGATCCTGAATCGTGCCAGAGTGTCGTGGATTTCAATACCGTGAATCAAAGTAAATGTTGCGCCCTGGCACTCGTACACCGTGCCGCAACACCATTCGTGGGACGTCAACCATCAGGATCCTTACAATTTGTGTGCGCTCTTGTAACTAATCTGCGCGGCGCTAAGGCGACCGCCCTCCATCCCTGTGGCTAGTTCTTGCAAGCCTTTACAGCGAATGTGCGCGGCGCTACGGCGAGAACCGTACTCTGAAAACCGCCCACCCTCCAGGGGAGCGACGGGGAGGAGTCACTCATAAGGAACAGGGATGGCGTATCCTGGATTTTTCAACGCTGGGTTCCCCGAAGTCCCGACCCCTTCCCCGAGGCAGTTCCTTCAGTGCGGGTCGTTTTTTGTGAAGGGGCCCCAGGACACACAAATAAATACACACAAATAAAAATATTCCCTATATTTTCCCATATTTTCTGGGTTTCTGTCTTCCCCCCCACTTCCCATATTTTCCCATATTTTCTGGGGAATCGACGTTTAATTGTGTCTGTGTGTTTCTTTCCCTCCTGATTTTGACAGCCCGAAGACCCGGCGAGGGCCCAGGAGGCCGAAAATAGCGAAACACTTCCCACCTGGGTACGCGAGCATGTGTGGGTACGCAAAAAAGAATGCACCAACCACTTCCGTCTCATGTTCCTCAGCCTCCCCCATGCTTCTTTACCCCTGACCTCCTCCGTATCATCATCTGATGCCTACTTCGCCTCCTCCACCTTCACTCCCTCCTCCTCCTGCCTCCTCCCCGCTCCCTCCTTCTCCTGCCTCCTCCCCACTTCCTCCCCCTTCCGCCGCCGACGAGCGACGCCCCCCCCCCTCTCGAGCATGTCTGGGGACGAGCGACGCCACCCGCCGGGGCCGTCAGGAACACCGAGACCGCGTCGCGCCACTCGATCACGCGCCCCGGGCCCTCCCGGTCGACCCGGTGGAGGTCGTCGTGCTCCTCGAGGCGGTTCCTGGTCCACCTGCGAGACGGCTTCGCGAATCAGCTGCGCCCCAATTCGGGTGAGGATGGATCGAGAATCTCTGAGATCCAGCGGCTCTGAAAAATGTATCCGGCGCCGCGACCTTCTCAGAGCGTTCCGGAACACTCTGAGAGCGTTCTGGAACGTTCTGGAACAATG